TGAGTGAAGTAAGTCAGAAAGAGAAAAACAAATACTGTATATTAATACATATGTGTGGAATCTAGAAAAATGGTACTGATGAACCTATTTGCAGGGCAGGAACGGAGACACAGATGTACAAATGTATGAATGCCAAGGGTGGGGGGAAGGAGGGTATGGGATGAATTGGTGGTTGGAATTGACATACATACACTACTGTGTATAAAATAGATGACTAAAGAATCCACCTTCCAGTGCAGGAGTTGCAGGTTCCATCCCTGGGTTGGAAGATTCCCTGGAGAAGGAAATGACAACCCACTCCAGTATTATTGCCTGAGAAATCCCATGGACAGAGGAGCCTGCTGGGTTACAGTCTATGGGGCTGCAAAAGAGTCAGACATGACTTAGCAACTAAACAACAGCAACAATGAGAACCTACTCTGTAGCATAGAGAACTCTGCTTAATGCTCTGTGGTGACCTGCGTGGGAAGGACATACAACAAAGAGCAAACCAGGACTGTTCCAGGTTGGGTGGGGGGTGGGCTCTGTTCCACACAGTTATTCAGTGACCCAGACTGACAGTTACTCTTACATCTTTGTAAGAAGACTTTTAAATCATCCCAAAGACCAACTTCCCAGGTACCCAGTACGGGAAAAGAGTATTCAGGAATGCACATGAGAGGCTTAATGGACCGAGTCTGAAAACAGTATACATCACTCTTGTTTGTGGTTGGGACTGGTTCATGCGGCCACACTTGTTACAGGTGAGACTGGGTAGCAAACTCTAAACTGTGTGTTTAGGAAGAAGAGGAAAATGAATTTGGTGAATGGCTAGCAGTCTTGACTACAAAGGCCCAGGAGAGAAGTTGGATGATACCATTATCTATGGATTGGAGGAAAGGAAAACTGGGACATGATAATAGTAAGAATTACATTGAACTTATATTAACTTCTCATTGTGGGCAAGGCATTGAATGTTATTTATTTTCACATTTAAACATCATTGTGATTTTGTGAGAAAAGTAAAATCATTATTGCAACTTCAGTGGTGTGTGAACTGAGGTCTAGCAAAGTTAGAGGAACCTTAGGTCATAGAGCTAGTATGTAGCAAGTCTACCTGACTCCAAAGTTTATGCTTACTAATATTGTGGTGGATTAAGATTTACCAGAAATGTAAGAATAAAACAATATTTTATTTGATTACTCTATTTATGGGTGAATGCCACCCAGCTGGATACCTTTATACAGAATTCAGGTCACCCTCACTTGCAGCTTCTGAAATTCACAAGACCACACTTATGTTCAGTCATTCATTAGAAGGACTCAGAATTTACCGAAGGCTGTTTTACTCATCTTTATGACCTTTTACAGTGAAAGGAAAGTGGAAGTGTTAGTCACTTAGTTGTGTCTGACTCTTTACAACACCATGGACTGTAGTTTGCCAGGCTCCTCTGTTCATGGAATTCTCCAGGCAGGAATGCTAGAGTGAGTAGCCATTCTCTTCTCCAAGGGATCATCACAACTCACGGACTGAACCTGGATTTCCCACATTGCAGGCAGATTCTTTACCATCTGAGTTGCCAGGGAATCCCAATACAGTGAAAGGACACAGGTTCAAATCAGCCTCGAGAAGAGGTGCATGGTGCAGAGTCCAGGAGATTCTTATACAAGGAGCTTCCAGCTGTTCTCTCCCAGTAAATTTGTGACAGAGCTAACTTCTCCCGGCAGCCATGGTGGGAATGTACATATGGTGTATTGCCACTAAGGAAGCACATCTAAACCTTGGGGACCAACGTTTAATTGGGGCTTAGTCATGTGGACATCGCTGACCACCTGTGTGGTTGACCGTAGCCACTTGACCCTCTGGAGGTTGAGTTGACATATGCCCCACCATAAGTCAGTGCTATTTTAGTGTATCTAGTATGACCCAGGGTCCCCAGGTAAACAAAGATACCATTATCAGGCAAGACATCCCAGGCACTTAAATTACCATCCTCTAGTTGAGGGCAAAGGCCAAACCTCTCTTTGGGTAAGGTTACTTCTTTCTGATGCATTGGACAAGACAGATGCACAAGAAGAGGATGAGACAGGGAAAATATAGTCTAAGAAAGGTATGTTTCATGTTTTCCTTGCATGACTGGATTTTTCTTGCATGCTTCTGTTTCTTTCGTGATTTTGAGAGATTGTCAAGTCTCTCAGGCATTCATGTTTACTTCTCATGGTGTATGACTCTGAGCTAAAGGACAGGTAAAAAAGTAATTATCCTTTCTACTCTTTGGAACCTTTTATAACAAGAATGTGATTCATTCATTGATTCTTAGCCTCGTCTTTTCAGTTCTCTAAATTTATTTATCATCTACTGTTTGCACGGTGCTAAGTGCTGGACATTTAATGTCCATATGAAGGTTAGAATCTAGCATATGAAGGAAACATGAATCAAATAGTCATGCTGATGAATGAATAATTGCCATCTGGGATAAATGACAGGAGGTAAACATGGTTTTATGAGAGTAGCTAACAAAATGACTCCAATTTGAGGGTCAGTGTTGGCTTCTTTGAGAAAGTAACACTCAATTTGGTGACCAAAGGGTAAATAGAAATTAACCACATGAGTGAGAATGGAGAGGAATAAATAATTTGGATACAGTAAGCAATAGACAGTGAAACAATTTTAGTTAAGAAAGCATCAAATTCAGTGGACCTGGGATGAGAGGTTCCTTGGTCTGCTGGGGAAATACGAGGAGGCCAGTGTGATGGCACATCAGAGGCCGAGAGGGAGAGAGATAGTAGACAAGGTAACTGAACAGGGAAAGGAAGAGACGAGTGGGGCAGGGACACCAGTTGGGGGGCTATCGGGAATATTCCAAGCCAGAGGGGATGGAGGATCAGGTGGTAGCAGTAGAGGTTGTGAAAATTAATTGGGTTTCATTTTGAAACTAAAGTCAGTAACATTATTTCTCGAGCCCAGTTCCATCAGGCTTTCTTCCTTCTCATTCCACTGTTACAATGTTTGTTAAGATCGTCAGTGACTTAACACGTTCGCATGGAGAAATCCAATGGCCAGTTCCCAGTCTTCAGCTTTTGATGCAGACCTTCTGGGGCACTTTCTTCTTGGAAATGTTACACTCTTTTTTTGTTTTCCTTGTCCCTCAATGGCCACTCCATCCCAGTCTCCTTTGCTGGATCTTTCCTATGGTCTCAAACGCTTAAGTGTTGGAACGTTCCACAGTTCAGAAATCAGAGCTTTCCATCCACATTGAGTCCTCAGGGTTTTCCATTCAGTTCTCTTGGCTTTAGATCAGTTAATGGTTGCCTCCCAAATTATTCATACAGTACAGACCTCTTCTTTGAACTTTAGACTTATAAAAAACAGCCTTCTCAACATCTTCACTTGAAGGTCTAATAAGCATCTCAGAATTTCACATCCTCAAAACTGAACTCTTACTGCAGTGATCATTTCATAATGTATTAAAACACTGAACACTATATTATACCCCTGAAACTAATATATTAAATGTTAATTATAACTCAGTTGAAAATAATGTAAAACAAGAACCTGAACTCTTGACTTACTCCCTAAATCTGCTCTTACTCTAGTCTTCTCCCTTAATGCTCAGTAAATGGTGTTTCCATTCTTACAACTGCAAGTATTTGCTGAAAATTTCAGACTAGTGAAAGCAGACTCTCTGGGGATGGGATGATAGTCAGGTATTTGTCAAAGCTCACCAGGTCATTTTAATGAGCAATCGGAGTTGAGAAGCAGCGTGTTTGATCCAGCACCTTTTTCTTCCCTTCTTCTCTTACAAATGTCAGGCTTTCTAATCAGGTTCCCCACTCAGGAGTGAAGCTAGTTCATCTTAGCAGCAGCAGTCCTTGCTGTGCCTGGATAGTGATCAGCAAGCCCCCGAGTGCTTGCAGGGGATGGGGGGTCTTCAGTGCAGGGCCATACCAACTGGCCTAGCGTGAATGAAGCCTCCCAGCCCAGTGAGTCACCGAGGCTCTCACGTCTCTGACTCCCAGGTCTTGCCTGCTCCTACCCAACTTCCTTGACCTACCAGGACCTAATTGCTGGCCTGCCTAGATTGGTATTATCAAGGATTTTTTATCTTTCCCCCACTGCAACATTTTATACTTCACTTTTTAAAAGAGTTTGTGGGATTTCTGCTGTAGTAAGTATTCCTAGTATTTTGCTGCTATAATTATTTGTTTAGTTTCCATGTTCATTGGTAGGTTTTACTATACACTGACTCCGTGCCTGGGCTTCCCAGGTGGTGTGAGTGGTAAAGAAGCCGCTTGCCAATGCAGGAGACTTAAGAGATGCAGGTTCAATCCTTGGGTTGGGAAGATGCCCTGGAGAAGGAAATGGCAACCCACTCCANGTAAATATTTTTAGAAGCAGGGAAATCATTCAATTTGGAGAACTTAGAATTGGGTGAAGGCCCTATTGAACTGGTAATAGGTTTAAATTGGTTGAAATTTGTTATGCTTTTTGTCTATACAGTGACTTAAAACTAACTTTTAAGAAGCTTCTGGTTTAGAAGTATAATTTACCCATTAATGATATAAATGTGTGTTCAATAAGTATTTAAAATACTTTAGTACTATTATCCTCCTTAGCTAATTTGTTAAAAATAATCAACTTTTAGTAGAATTTTGGCCTCAATTGTCGTGGACTCTGCAGTGGGCCTGGATGAATAAGGCCTTAGATTGAGTAACTTGAGGGTTTTTCCCCTTGTTTAGTATATGTTTCAAAGGTGACCACAGGCATGGTTAAAGTATCTTTGGAGCTAACATGTTCATTCATTATTGCTCAGAATTTTTTCAAACACCTTTTCCCATTTCTAGAATATCAGTAGGACCAACCCTAGCAGTATTGTCAGGAGTAAAATGAGACGTCTTTAGACTGTTGGGATTCACTAGTTTTCTTCCAAAAATCTGAGATCCACTCTCCACCCTCCCCCACCCCCGCCTCACTTATGTCTGAAAAGAAAATTGAAGTCAGATGTGTCTTTTCTTTCCAGGAAAATGCCGTGAACGGAGAGCACCTGTGGCTGGAGACCAACGTCTCGGGAGACCTGTGCTACCTGGGGGAGGAGAGCTGCCAAGTCAGATTTGCAGTGAGTGTGCGCCCGGCTCCCCTGTGCTCTGGCCTTTGTGGGGGGAGCCTTGTGGGTAATTGAATCGGAGGGCAGCTGGGGTCACCTCGCCTGAATTTCCAAGGAGAGGTTTGAAAGAGCCGTCCCTATGAGACAGTCGACAGATTTTATCAAATTAGCACGGCTTTCAAGGGGTCGTTTGAATGGTTTTAGGTGTTTTCCTTGATTCTGCAGGTGGAACTGTGGAGTAATGTGCTACTTTGTGATGATACTCAGGGTGGGTATTTGTTCATGTCTGGGGGTGGGGTGTCTTGTGGGGAGAGGCCTGTGTGTGGAGGAAGGGTCTCTCTGGGAGGGGGCTTTCCTTCTAGGGAAGCGTGTGTGGTGGAGGGCACTACTCCTGGGCAAAGCTGGAGATGAGTGCAAACCTTGGTCTGGTGGTGGGTGCAGGCTCACAAATAATTAGGACTGGGCTCCAGATGATAAAATTCTAGGAACTATTAATATATACGTGAATGACAGTCAGTTACATTAAGAGTATATGTGGCTTTAGAAAATTTGCTTTGTCCCTATTTGTAACGGAGTTTGAATATTAAATCCTCTTTATGTTCTGTGAAAAGAGCATGGTTGCCAGGCAGTAAGTTGGGAAGAACTAAAATTTTAGTATTGAGAAAGTGAACTTAAAATTTTTGTGTGGTTTCAAATGATGGTTCCGAAAAGAAAGTAATGGGAAATTTAGAGTAGTAAAAAAAAAAGAAAGAAAAGATGCATTATTTCTTATTTGGGGGAAATTGGCATCATAATTGACCTAATAATAACTTTTTTCTTTTTGATTATGCTTGTTTATTATGTGAAAGAAAGATTGGGGCAAAATGCAGAACCTAGAAATTGCGAATGACTATGTTTCTGTGAATAATGAGGAAGGAAGAAATTGAGTTTCTGCCAAAGTTTCTGGAAGAATATAGAACCCAGGGACTTTTATTAGGCTGCCTGGAATCACAAAGCTGGGGAACAAAGATTCTTTAAAATTACATTAGCTGTTTTGATACCTAGTTTATAGGTTTTGTTGGAAAAACTTTATGAGAGTTTGGAGGACCAAGCTTTGTTTGCGTGCGGGTGGAACAGTTAAATATCAGTTAAAGACCCAGCTGTACAGGCTCTCAATTCAAAGTCAGGAAACCTGGATTTGAGTCCCTGTGTTACCACTGGATGTGTGACATTGAGAACGCCTGACCTTTGAGTGTTGGCCACCTTCAAGGTAGAAAAATGGAGTAGGATTCAATTAATTTTGTTTCCAACTCAGATCTGTACTTTGTTGTTTGCATTTTTTTTAATGTAGTTGTAAATTCAGTTGATTTAAACATCATTTCAACTTTATGCATATGCATTTTCAATTAAAGTATAATTGCGTGAAATTCGATTAAATTAACCAAAACCAAGAGAAGCTCAGCTGTTTGGACTAAAAAGCTATAAATGATGAATTAGCATTTGGATCTTAGTTAATTGCGCAAATACTGGTCTTGATAATGGAAAATGGAAAAAATGAAAGCCAATTCTTCCTGCATGTGTACTTTTGAACTGTTATCTACTGATGTTGCTGCCAACTAATAGACTGTAATTTTATGGGGTTCTGCCTTATTTCTAGATTATTCTTTGATCCTTTTCTGATGGTCTTTTAGGGTCAGCCATACGTTACCTCTCTTGACAAAAATATGAACAGATACCGACATCCTCCTTAACCTTTGTTTCAGTAAATAGCACTAATTGATTATAACTTGGTCACTATTACCTCTAGGCCAGGAAAGTAATAAAAAAGGAAATTTTAGGGAGTTGTAAGTAGATAATGGAGTTATGAGAATTTCTAATGTTCTTTTGAACCTTCCTTATGCTTGCATCCCAAATACTTGGCTCTCTTAGCTTACCTTACAAAGTGTCTGGAAGATAAAGATCTCTCCTCCCAAAAACATTAATTAAATGAAGGCATAAGTTAGTGAGGAAGCTGAAGATCTAACTGTGCTTCCTCATTTCACGTTCTTGAAGGCTCAGTTTCTTTACTTGTAAAGTAAGGGAAATATTGTTTTGAGGATTAGGTGAGATAATGCATTGAATCGACTTACTTGTCAGACAGACATAATGAATTAAAAGAGGAAAAAAAAAGCCTACAAAGGAGAAGAGCACACAGTTTACAAAGGAACAACCACTGGCATATATATATATAATAATCAATCTGATTTCGGTGTCGACCATCTGGTGATGTCCATGTGTAGAGTCATCTCTTGTGTTGTTGGAAGAGGGTGTTTGCTGTGACCAGTGCGTTCTCTTGGCAAAACTCTATTAGCCTTTGCCCTGCTTCATTCCATACTCCAAGGCCAAATTTGCCTGTTACTTCAAGTGTTTCTTGACTTCCTACTTTTGCATTCCAGTCCCCTATAATGTAAAGGACATCCTTTTTGGGTGTTAGTTCTAAAAGGTCTTGTAGGTCTTCATAGAACCATTCGACTTCAGCTTCTTCAGTGTTACTGGTTGGGGCATAGGCTTGGATTACCGTGATATTGAATGGTTTGCCTTGGAAACTAACAGAGATCATTCTTTCGTTTTTGAGATTGCATCCAAGTACTGCAT